TCTCCTGAATGTTACTTTTGCACATTTATGTAATCCGAAATTATTATTATTATTATTATTATTATTATTATTTTTTCCTTTGATTTCTGGTGTGTACACATTTCTTTCCGGGTCCTGCCCAGAGACCTAAGGTTAGAAATGGCATCATGACATTTTCCACTGACAAAAAAAAAGAAAAATTACATAGATAAAGCCCTTCGTAAAGTGTGGGCTGTACTTGTCAGAAAAAAAAATTGTATCTCTTCAAGGCGTGGACTTCCAGGAATCCCTTCAGTTAATCTACTGGAATCTTTTCCAGACAATCCTAGGGCTCCAACTACAAGAGGGATTGTTGATGTTCCCATGTGCCACATTTTCGAGATTTCTATTTCAATGTCCTTGTATTTTGACAGCTTTTTGAATATCTTCAAAGATACATTGCAGTCTGCAGGGACAGCCATATCAATAAGGAGGCAATTTTTTGTTTGTGGTCTCTAATAGCAATGTCTGGGTGGTTGGCTTTGATTGTTCTGTCAGTGTGTATTGTGTAGTCCCATAGAATTGTAACATGTCCTATCTCCGTAACCGGATCTGGGTGGTGTTCATACCATTTTCTTTCAGTTTCCTTCCCGTAAAAGTTGCAGATTTTCTAGTGCAGCTATTGGCCCACTCTGTCATGTCGGGTTTTATATTCAGTGGGTGCCAATACCGTGCAATCTGATAAAAGATGATCAATTGTTTCTGGATATTTATCACAGAATCTGCATAATTTCTAGTTAACAAACATTGGTCCTGTGCAGCAAGTATAAAACCTTCAGTTTCAGCTTTCAATCCTGCACTACGTAGCCACTGATGGGTACGGGTTTTGTCTACGTCAGCTTGTTTGGTACGGGCAGAGTTTGGAAGCGGTTTATCTTGTCATTGTTTCTGAAGCTGGTCGGTTGCATTCGTCTTTGCTGTCTTTTTAAGTATTTTGCAGCTTCAGCCGGTGTATTGTGCTTTACTTGTATTTCTGCACCCATTTGAAACTCCATTTTGAATTTATATTATTATTATTACTTTTATTTCCTTTGATTTCTGGCGTTTACACATTTCTTTGCGGGTCCCGCCCAGGGACCTAAGGTTGGAAATGGAATCATGACACTTTCCACTGAAAAAAAAAATACATAGATAAAGCCCTTCGTAAAGTGTGGGCTGTACTTGTCAGAACAATTTTTTGTATCCCTTTGAGGCATGGACTTCCAGGAATTATTGTTATTATTATTATTGAAGTTATTGATCTTACTAGTATTATTGTTACTAAAATTAACGCTGACTGTATTATTACTAAGAATGTTACTGTTAGTATGTTTACTTATTGTTTTTCTATATTTTCTATGCCACTCTAATCAATTTAATATTATTTCTGTTGATAATTTTTCATAATTTACTATTTTAGGAAAAGTGATTATCGATTAACTTAAAAAATAGTTTCTCTGTGTGTGTTTTTTTTATTTCGTTGTTGTAAAGAGGACTAAATAAATTATATTCATTTCTCTATTATTTTATCATTATTATTATTATTATTATTTTCCGTTTAGTATTCCAATTTTAAGCGAGTGGTGGGATTAAAGACACAGTGGTTGATATTAGATAACATAGCTAGATACATTTTAAAAAGAATTATATCGATAATCCTTACCGCAGGGTGCTAGCCAAAGTTTCATGTGCGAGTTATTCATCAAACGACAAAGTGAATGTCTGAGGATTGCCACATGGATTAAACTTTGAATAGCATCGTACGAGATGGAACAATAATATATATTTTAATATTCATAAAGATGATGAAATATAGAACAAATAGAAAGCATATATCAATCTAACATGTTTCACTTTTATTAAAGAGAAAACAAAGGAAGAGTAAAAGCATTGGTATTTTTAATTTGGTTTGGGTCAATATCATTGGCCAGTCATGTATCACTTGCATTAGCGGTCCTCCAATGGCAATGTATCTTCATAATAGTGTCTATGTGTCTGTCTAGTATGAGGCGTTCTAATGTCTTCTCAGCTGCGAGAGGCGTGGCATATGTATATGTATTGTTGCTGTGTGTGTGTTTATATATATATATATATATATATATATATATATATATATAAATAAATTTAATTGATTTAAAATATAGTTTTTTTTCGCTACACAGTTCTAACCATGTTTCAAAAATTTTTGAATCATGGTTAGAACTGTGTAGCGAAAAAAACTATTTAAAAAATCAATTAATTTATAATATTAATGCTCTGTAAATTTACATTGAGCACTATTTTGTAAAATCTATAAGAACACCGGATTATATATCTTACTGTTCTTTCTTGATATATATATATATATATATAAGTGAACATAGAAGTCAACACTTAGAGGCGACAGTCTGTTTCATGCTAGATGCAATCGTCAGGCCACGACGATTGCATCTAGCATAAAACAGACAAGTTGGTATCTGTTTGTAAAACTTTCCTTAACTATAACAAGCCAATTTATGAATGAAATGTTCATTTAAAATTCTTTGTTTCAAAGATTTCATGTAGTGAATATATTTTACTTTGCGAAGCGATAGCAAGCAGCGAAGTTTGCTAGTTATCTATAAAATTCCTTCAATTATACGTTGGTAACTATTAGTAAAGAAATATGGTTTAATGCCTAGAAGGAAGGAGTTCCTATCGAATGCTTATTACATTACGACCATTGTCCAACCTCATTGGACCATAGCTCGGGAATCCCTAGTTTAAAGGACTACTATAATTCTACACTAACTGATGCTAGATTGCCTGAAACGTTGATAAAAATCCTCTTGTAAATCTTTGTCCGTGAAGAAATCAAACCATGAGATTCTCCCTGAAAAATTCGAGCAGTAATTTTCCTTATATCGCGTGTAAATCTACATCTGTTTATCACAAGAAGAGTCGAAGATTACAAAGTCCCTTGGGCAACGATATGTTTTTTTTGGGGTTTTTTTTGTAGGTGCGGGGGGCAATAACAGATCAATATCTTTGTTAAGGTAGAGAATTTTCGTGTACTCAAAGCCTGAGAAAACAACGAAGAAAACAGCTACCATTATAGTAAACAATATCCTAGCCTCTATCAACGATAACTAAAGTGTCTATTTCATTGCAGTAAGTTCGTGTATTCGGTCTGAGAGAGAAAAGCATAAAAATGTAAAAATAACATTTATGACTCAGGCTTCTATTTATAAATTGATTCAGTGTTTATTGATTTTATGATTCAGTTATACATTTAACCCTTTGCCTGTCCTGCGCATTATATGTGATGCACACGAGCCAGGATTTTAAAAGAATAGGGAAAATAAGGACGCTATTGAGCAGGATATCTGAGGCAAGACCTAATATTATGGGCATCATATATGTCTACAGGAGGCTTGCCTGTTTTTAGATTTATAACAAATGCAAAGCAACTCAACTTATTTGGTAAATGGAATCTGCTGGTATATAGTGTTTCACATAATAAAAACCTTTGTATAACATGTGATGCACAGAGGCAAAGGGTTAAGATCCGTTATAGTAATAGCCAGGTAAATTTAGCACTAAAATAAATTTGAAAATTAATTAGTTTGTGCACGAATTTATAAATTCAGAGTGTTTGTTCAGATCTACCGCGAATTTATTTACTGTTTATGATACAACCATATATACTTTACTGTGATACAACCATATATATTTTACCATGATACAACCATATATACTTTACCATGATACAACCATATATATTTTACTATGATACATCCATATATATTTTACTATGATGTAATCATATATACTTTACCAAGATGCAACCATATATACTTTACCATGATACAACCATATATATTTTACCATGATACATCCATATATATTTTACCATGATGCAACCATATATATTTTACCATGATACATCCATATATATTTTACCATAATACAACCATATATATTTTACCATGATACATCCATATATATTTTACCATGATACATCCATATATATTTTACCATGATACAACTATATATATTTTACCATGATACAACCATATATATATTACTATGATACATCCATATATATTTTACCATGATGCAACCATATATATTTTACCATGATACAACCATATATATTTTACCATGATGCATCCATATATATTTTACCATGATACAACCATATATATTTTACCATGATGCATCCATATATATTTTAACCATATATATTTTACAATACCCATATATATTTTACCATGATACATCCATATATATTTTACCATGATGCAACCATATATATTTTACCATGATACAACCATATATACTTTACCATGATACAACTATATACATAATAATCGGCTACTGTGAATTTCCGATCACACTTATCTTCACGAGAGGATCGTCAATTCCTGGCGCAGACATGTATTCAGGTAACATCCGCAGAGTCGATCATATGTATTTATGTGATTATAAATATCGTTGGTGGTTATTTTGAGATCAATTAATATAATTACAATAATTTCTATCTGAATTATTGGGATGAGGAGTTATCATTATTTACCCTATTCATATTCAGAGTATTGCCCTCAGGTTACAAGTTCTGCTACTGGCAACCTGTAATCCAGTACTAACTGCTCCAGGGTTGAGTTGCCGACGACTAAACTGGTGAGGTGTGTGGCTAGAAACCCTGATGAAATCAAAAACATTATATCAAAGGCTTATGGGAATCATCGACAGCCATCTAGAAATTAGAAGATTGGACCTGGCGAACTGCGTAGACGAAACTACTTGTTTGGCTCAACGGTCAAGAAGGTAATCCCAGTAACGCGTCACAGTGAAACGGAAGCAACACTATTGGACATCAACTGCATCCCAGGCTCATCTCCGACCGTCTTGACTTCGTCGTGTCACCGGACCCAGATGGATAGAGACGAGAGAGTGAAGCTGACGATTTTGCGCAACGCTCTTTCACTTAAATCCAACTTACTCGCAAGGCAAGACTTCATCTCCATTACGTAACCTTCTTCTCAGGTCCAGCGGCGAGGGACGCGTGACCAGGTGACATGTGCGGACGCAGTGGCAGTCGTCGTCACAACTCTACGCGTAGGCGGCCCAGGCCATATTGTCGTTTTCAGTGAACTAGACAGCGCTGGAATTTGGCTGCCACCTGGGCGACGAAGCACTCCTGTTCAGGATAGAACTGCTTCCCCACCCCGTAGCCTGGGGAGGAGACTAGAAAAAAATGATCCTAAAAATTGCCTAACTCACCTTTCCCTGTCCAGCTTGCCGCGGTTGGCAGTGGTTGCATACCAGCGGTAAAATCGCCTACGGTGACAGCAGTCATCTTTGATACGTGAAATGTGCGCACTCTTTTGGACCGTAAGGGGACTGGCCGGACTGAGAGACGAATTGCCCTCATTGCCATCAAACTATCTCGATACAATGTGCATACTGCCACGCTCAGTGAGACCCGTCTAACAAAGGAAGGACACATGACAGAGCAGACTGCCGATACACATTCTTTTGGATTGGACGTAGACGCAACGAACGACGCCAGGCAGAAGTTGGCTTTGCTATCAAGTCCAACCTGGTCAGCATGTTGGCGGCTCATCGGAAGGGGATCAATGATCGCCTGGTGACCGTCAGCCTCCCTCCGCCATGACTAACCAGGACGAGATGAAAGATTCTACCATGATCTGAAGGACACAATCTCGGCCGTGTCCAGGGCAGAGAACTTCATCATTCTTTGAGACATTAACGCCTGTGTCGACAGAGATCATATGTAGTGGTAGGGAGTGTTAGAAAAACACGGGGTGGGCAAGTATAACAGCAACGGTCTCCTTCTTCTGGAGAGCTGCCCCACTCAAGATCTTCTCATCACCAACACAGCCTTTCGTCAGCCTAACTGCAAAAAGACATTGTGGATGCAACCGTGCTCCAAGCACTGGCATCTATTTGACTACTTCATCGTTAGGCAGAGAGACAGGTGGGATGTGAGGGTCAAGAGGTGCGGTGCTGAATGCTGGACCCATCACCTGCAATGCACCAGGACTGGTTTGACGAAAACAACAGTCACCTCCAGACTCTACTAGAGGAGAGACACCAACTCCGCCGATCACACCTTAACAACGCGCCCTTCCACAACCAAAAAGGAAGCCTTCAACGTAGACGGGAAAGTTGTTCGGTTTGAACTACGCCGCATGCAAAATGAATGGCTTAGCGAGCAGGCCGACGCCATCCAAGCCTACGCAGAGAGGAAAGACATAAGAAACTTCTAGATCGCTCTCAAGGCAGTCTACGGTCTCATTTCGTCTGGGTCATCCGCACTCCTCAGGACAGATGGGAACACATTGATCTCGGACAAGAAGATACTAAAGCGGTGGGCAGAACACTTCAGCAGTGTACTCAACCGGCCATCAGCCATCAATGAAGAATTTCTTACAAGACTACCACAAGTCCCAGTCGACAACACAATGGCAGTATATATATCTTCTCTACATTAAATCGCTAATAATATCTCTTAAATATATATATATATATATGTATTATATATATATATATATATATATATATATATATATATATATATATTTGTTATTTTATATATATAATAAATTTTGCTTATGTAAAAAAAAATAAGCAAAAAACCACCTTGCATTATTAGAAATATTCATAGAAATATGATTTAATTTTTTTTTACTCGGTTTATTAAACAGGTTGTTGATTTTTTTTTTTTTTAACGGAAAATAATTGAGTTGAAAATAATTCACTAAAGTTGTACTTAGACGATCCTAAGGAAAGAAGAAGGAAGGGAAAAGAAAAGGAAGAAAGGAAAAAAGGAAAGATGTGGATTAACAAAAACATAAGCGAAGATAGGTGTCAGAAAGATATCTTGGCCTGCGTGTTGGCCGAATTTTTTAAAGACAATTGGAATTTTATTTAGAAATTTCATTTAGAGGGAGGGAAAAACCATGATTGATCAAAACGGGCCGCGATTGATAAGAATATCGGTCAAAACATCTAGTACTTTTTGCGTGGAAAGACTCCATTATCAAATTGGAGAAAGGGAAATTTTTTAGAACAATAGAAACGAAATTTTTTTTTTTTAATCAGAGAAAAAGTGTCTTTTGGGTTGAGGGGTGACCGGTGGAACTGTATACAGATTCTGACCTGTTAAAAATTGAAACCCCCACGATAATAAAGTGGGGACATTTTCAATGTAGATAATTAAGATTTTCTGACTGTCAGGTCTGACAAAAAAAAGAGGTGAAAAAACGATTGTCTCAGCTCACAGATGGCGCCAATATTCTTTCCTGAAGTCACATCTAATTAGCGGCAGGCTGTTTTGACAGGGTGAAAAAAGCCAAGATTGTCATTTTCGTACGTGCAAAAAGGGCAAAAATTGGATTTTGTTTTTTTAAAACAAAACGATAAACCACGCCCGAAAAGAGGAGAAAGGATGCTCGATCAATAACAATTGGTCGGAAACGGTCACGTGATATATCAGGAACCATTGGTCGAAAAACGGTCACCTGACATACGAGGGACCGGGAGAGATGGGTGTGCGCCTCCCCACCAAAGGCACTGTGAGGAAGTAGGGGTGAAAACAATAGCGATAATGGGAAGACAGAAATAATGCGGCTTTTGGAATTATCGAGAAAACCCTGACGCCGACAAACCCACCCCAGTTTGTTGCGGCGTCAATAAAAGCAGGACCCCAGTCGACAGAAATCAGTTGCAGCTGGACCGCGGGCAGGGATAGAGCCTGAACGCGGGCATCAAGCCCGATTCAAATCCCCCTTTGCAAAAAGAAGGAAATCCTCAACAAGAAATCCTTCCATCGAAGACAGAAGAGTTCAGCCCCGGACGGCAGCGAGACGAAGAGATCACCTTTTTTTCACCTCGGACCAGACAAGTCGTTGCAAGAAATTCTTCCACCAAGTCGAACTTCCACCCAAGTCGAGATTACCTCGACAAGAGAACTTCAGCCCAAGTCAAAGAAGAAGAAATACTCGAAAGCCGCAGAAAGAAAGAAAATCAGCCCAAGCCGAAGTCAAGAGAAGTTCTATCTAAGTCGACGAAGAAGAAGAAATACAACTCAAGTCGAAGAGAAGAATCAACTGCGAATGATCGATTTAGCCCCAGTGTCGAACTAAACCACACTCCGACATACAATTCTAAAGAGTAGGCAATTCGAAATCTTTAGGTTGTGTGATAGAAGCTTGGTGCCATAGTCCACAGAGCGGGTCGGGAAATGAGAACAATTTTTTTTTATGTAACGGACATTAGATATAAAAAGGTTGTTACCCTTTTTTTTTCATCAGCAATCTTTTTGTCTCGTGAGTTTTTTTTCTCTTTTATTTGTGTTTTGCCACCCCGTCGGACTCAACTTATCGGCCCCAATCCCTGCTGGTCCCGTCTGTCTAAGATCTAAACACAGCGTGGGTAGACAGACCGGAGATCAGTACAGTTGCTTTAGGAACCAGGTATTGGAAGCGAGTTGGGAAAGGCGAGGCTGGTGATCATCTAACCAAGGGTTGGAGCGGCACGCTTGGAACCAGGAGGAGCGACCAGGAGGAACGACGTCACAGTTAACGCCGTAACCAAAGGATTCGACCCTGGGCCAGGTGTGTAACCGTCACATATATATATATATATATATATATATATATATATAAAAAGAAGAAAGAAACTGCAAACGCTTTTGGTTATAATGTGGATTTTTTTAAATATGTTAATTTATTTTCCATATTTTTCGTACTACAAAATTTTGGGTAGCCCTTCATCAGGTGAAGAAAATGGTTATTTCCACATATCTCTAAAGGAATTAATTTTCCTTTATTTTTGTGTAATAGTAATCCAAATTTTCTTGGACTTGTTAGCTTAAGGGTAATATAACAATTGACCCAGATAAATTATGTATCTTGTGCAAATGTGTGTGTTTGTTTGCTAGTAGCAAATGGTTAATTTTGTATTTATTTTTTTGTGTTCTTATAATTTTCTTCTTTTCTCGACATAAATTATGTAGAAATTGTCCAGATGTTTTCTATGCCCGAGCGCTTTCAGCTATTCTTTTAGCCATTATCAAGGATGATTTTATTTTTTACTTTTAACTGAATGTATGGATTGTTTTATGTATGTAGCTAGAGTTATAGTAATGTTTTATTTTCCAAACACGGTCAGAAAACTATGGCCGTGTTCATAGTTGATATTATTGAGTGTTAGTTTTTTTTCTTTTTTCTTAATATTACTTCCATTATTTTTAGACATTTTTTCATTTCTAGATAAGGCTATTATATTTGTATTATCAACGAGCCTGTTGTGGATAGAAATCGCTCGGTCCCCCTGTGTATTAAATAAGATCCTAATTGAGCTATGGTCAGAGAAATGTAACGTGAGTCTTCTTGTTAGGAATGTTGTAGTATATATTCAATATAATTATTTGAATTAATCAATAACACAATTTCTTAAAGGACACGTGAATCCATAAATAATAATGGTCCTCTGTAATTTGGATCTTGCAGGTGAATTATTATAGTTGACGATAAAGTTAGCAGTTTTAAGTGTTTTTATAGTAGATAATTTAATTTTCTTGTTTTTGTTGAATGAAATTGTATATTTCAGTATAATGTTTCTAAGGAAACATTCTTCTTGCTTTTAGTTACAATGCATTTGATTTTTGTAGAAAATGTTAATGTTATTGCTTTTTTTCTGTGTGTTCAGTGTTGCTATTGGTTACCTTAGAAAGAAATAACCACATAGATCTTCGTATTAGATTTTTTTTCTTTCTAAGGTAAGCAACACCGAACATAGAGATAAAAACAATAACATTAAAAGAGATAGATAGTCATACATTATGAAACAGACAAAGTCCATTAATGATTTTTAAGACATTTTTTATGTTTATACATTCTTTTTATAGATACAAATATTTAAGTAAATGCTCTGTTTATAATAAACAGTATTAAACAACATTTACCGGCCTGAATGTCCGAGAAGTTATCATAGAAAATATTCGTCCTCCGACAGGAATCGAACCTGTATCCTATACGGAACCGTCATTTAGCCTGACGTGCCTTTACCCGTTTCGGCCACAGAGGAGCGTTCGGTTAGCAAGGTCGATTTTACTGTTTTTAAACACAATTATCCATGATTTTCTCTCGTTCATTCATATCTGCTCAATGCGTATCCAAATGTAAACAAATGACGTCATATATTATGAAATGGACAAAGTCCGACAATTATTTTTTAAGACATTTTTTATGTTTATAAATGTTTATAGATAGATAGATAGATAGTGGAGACACTGGAGTTTGAACACAGATCACCAGAGAGCAAACACAATCGATCCCTTTTTGAATAAATAGATCACGTGATGGTAAAGGAAATCTATATATGGGAATTAACTTGGCACCTAGATAATCAATCTCCGAATTACTTCGGAGGTGTGTTTGTCGAACTCTCCGCCTCTTATGTATTTTTAATTAAAACCCTACACTTTTAGCAGAGTCTCGTCTGGGTGGTATGATACATACACGACCCCGCTTTTTACGAGGTCTACGGGGAATTTCTGGCCGAAATATTTCAAATAAACAAAAATGAACTCGGCCTTGTGCCACATCCGACCGTGTGGGGCGGTTAATGAATATCATCCCTCACCGGATTATTTCGGTGTGTGCTGGTCAAACTCTCTGCCTCCAGACGAGGCTATGCCGAAGTGCAGAGTCTCGTCTGGGGTGGTAGACAGCCAACCGACCCCGTTTCTTACGGTGTCTCCTGGGAATTTTTAGCCGAGCCTAAGGGAATCGTAGTCTCCATAATGAAAATCGGCCTTAAATATAAACATCCGAAACGATGATAATTTTCGTGAATATCTCACTATACAGATTACTATTCCGGTCACTATTCGTTGGTTACTTTTCGAGCGAGTATTATCGAGCAAGTACTATTAGTGCGAGTGATATTCGAAGGCGCCTGATACTAGTATTGTTGAACGGCGTTACTATAGTTGTATCTGCGATTACAAAGTTTCTAATACAACCAGCATTACGAAAGTGACAACGAATATTCGTTGGCATTTACGAAAGTAAAACGAAATGTTCGTTGACATCACAAAAGATAGATAAATAGATTTTTGATTATTGTGACAAGATTTTATTGATTGTGATTATATATATATATATATATATATTAATATAAATTTGATTGAACAAATTGATTTATATATATAAAAAATATATATATATATATATACTGAGCACATAGATGGATATGTTGAAAAAATAGATATGAAGGAATGAATAGATTGAATGATAGATAGATACGATCAAATTTAGATAGATAGATAGATGAACAAATTTAGATAGATAGATAGATAGATTTCAACAAATTTAATAGATAGATATTTTAAAAATGAACAAATTTAGATAGATAGATAGATAGATAGATATAAACAAATTTATGAAATCATGATAGATAAAAAAAATTAGTAGATATTCCTAGATAGATAGATAGTTTTGAACAAAAAAGATAGATAGATAGATAGATATTATAGTTAGAATTTTCAAATTTAGATAGATATTAATTAATTTAATTTCTTGGGTCTTGAATTTTTTTTTTTTTGAATTGATTGCTAACCACTGATCTATTCTCTTCTATTCACTCGACATCCGATAATATATTGAAACTTTCTTCTAACGTCGTCCTTCACATCTCTTATGATTTACGACCAAAGATCACCTCTGCGTATTGTCAAAGTCTAATGAAGTCACGTCTGAAGGCGAAAAGTCGGTTTCATTCCCTGTTTTAAACCAGAATAGATCAACTAACAATGAACAGGTGGGATCCAAATGATGGTTGCTAAGCGAAAGAGTCTAGCAAGGGCCGCATGATAAAAAGTGTCGATGGAAAGCAGAAAACGAATTATTCGTACCGTTTTCTCATTTCACTTTTGATTCAGTGGCGCAGGTTGAAGGCTGGGACCCTTTCTCGATCTTACGTGATAAAAGAGAACTTATTTTTATTTATTTATTTATTTATTTTTGCGTTGCTGTTTGAACAGAGAGAGCAGTGGAGCGTGGATTAGAGATTGGTGAGAATAAATTCGGAAATTCAAAAGAATGGAAGTCCGTGAAATATGGCCTGACCGATTTAACAAAGTATCCAGACAGAAATTAATATGCAACCTGAAACATAGATAGATAGATAGATAGATAGATAATGAAAAGACTGAGATAGATAGATAGATAGATAATAGATAAGATAAAGATACAGATTATAGATAGATGAAGAGATAGATAGATAGATTCTATATATAATAAAATTAAAGACATTTAAGAGATAGATAAATAGATAGATAGATAATGAACAGATAGATAACAGATAGATAGATAGATAGATAGATTTTATAATGAACAGACTGAGATAGATAGATAGATAATAGAAATATATAGATAATATAGATAGATAGATAGATAATGAAGAAACTATGATAGATAGATAGATATTACTGTTTATGAACAGACCGAGATAATGTCATGAAGTAATTCTGTTTTGTTATGTCAAACTGGGATAAATAGATTTTTTTTTAGATAATAGATATGAAGAGAATGTGATTAATTGAAACTCCTAAAGATACTGTAGATAGATAGATAGATATGAACAAACTGAGATAGATAGATAGATAATATGAACAAACTTAGATAAATATGAACAAACTGAGATAGATAGATATATAGATAGATAGATGCATGAAGAGACTGTGATAGATTGATATGAAGAGACTGTGATAGATAGATAGATATGAACAAATTGAGATACATAGATAGATAGATAATGAATTAAATATATAATAGATAGATTATAAATATATGAATAAACTGAGATAGATAGATAGATATAGATAGATATGAACAAATATAGATAAATATGAAATTAACTGATAGATATATAGATAGATAGATAGATATATAGATAGATAGATAGATATGAACAAACTGAGATAGATAGATAGATAGATAGATATGAACAGACTGTGATAGAGAGATAGAAATAATCAAATAGTAATTTAATTTATCTTATTTTTGATCATGGCATCTTTAGTTAGCTTAGTTTTGCACAAATTACATATATGGGACACCCAGTGAGGATTAAACATCCAACATAATCTATTATCTAAAACCAATTTGCTACTAACGAAGTCTTAGTTCGTTGTTCGGATTCACGTAGCAATTTGTTTTGAACGCATAGATCATTATCCCACACTTCTGCCAAATATTACTACCTGGAAATATTAAATATTTGGTATACTCGGCGAGTTAAAGATAATGGCGTTTTATCAACTAAATTAAATAAGATTGATAGCAACTTTGTTATAAAGGAGATTAAAAGAAATTGTTTTCAGTAATCGTTTCTAAATCTAAATATTTCTTTCCTTTCATATAATGTCTTCAGAGAGACATAATATTTCTATAATAACATTTCTATATCTGCAAAATCTATTGCTTTATCTCAATATCTTCAGCTCGCTTTCTCTTTATCTATCTATCTATCTATCTATATATATATATATATATATATATAAATTAATTGATTTAAAATTTATGTTTTTTTTCGCCATATAGTCTAACCATGTTTCAAAAAATGGAAGTATAAAATACGAATTTAATTTTGCAATTAAATTAAAATATATATAGGTTAAAACTAGCCATGAATTCAAAAAAGATTCAACCAACATCAAACTTCATTTAGAATAAATAAATATAAAAATCAGAGATCTCTCTCAAAATACTTCTGGCATCTAAAAGAATCAAATAAAACACCTACAGTAAAATGGAATTAATAAGAAAAGCTAGAATATGTAGGTCATTAAACGACCCATGTCCTTTGTGCATACATGAGAAACTATATATTACTAAGTTTATAAAAATAAAAATTTACTGAATCAGAGAAATGAAATAGCTATTATATGCCGTCATTGTCAAAAATTTTCCTTAAATAATATTTAAAAAAATAAAAAAAAAAATAAATTTTTAAAAAAAAAATCAGGTATATATACATACTTATACTTAACATGAAAAATAATTTTATATACTGTAAAAACTAATATTACATTTACTTGTTTTTCTTTATAAAAAAATCTATTGGAATAACAGTGAAAATATTTTAAAGTTGTTTTAAAATTGTAGTTAAAATTAATTCTAACCTAAGCATCTTTTAAAAAATTGCAGTTAAATAAAATGTATGCTAACCTAAACACCTCTAAAAAAAGTACTACCGGCACTTAAATGAATCCAATAAAACACCTACTGAAAAAAATGAAATTATAACGAAAAGCTAGATGATGTAGGCCTGTGAACGACCCATGTCCTTTGTACATATATATGAAACTTTATTAATTAGTTTATATATATTTAAAATAAATAAATAAATTAAATTAATAAATAAAGTTTACTAAATCTGAGAAATGAATTAGCTATTTTTGCAGTAAGTGCCATAAATATTACTTAAATAATATTTAAATATAAAAGTTTAAAAATCGTAATATACATATACTTTTTGATATGGAAAAATAATTTTACTTACTATAAATAATTTCAAATACATTTCCTTCTGTTATAAAAAAATATAGTCTATTAAAACTAACAATGAAAATATTTTAAAGTTGTAATTAAAATTGTAGTTAAATAAAATGAATTCTAACCTAAATTTAAATTTACTTAGTACTACACGCAATTAAAAAGAATCCAATAAAACACCTATAGTAAAATAAAATTAATATGAAATGCCAGAAGATGTAAGATTTTGAATGACCCATGTCCTTTGTACTTACATGAGAAACAATATATTACTAGGTTTATATATATAAAAATAAAAGTTTACTAAATCAGTGAAATTAAGTAACTATTTTTGCCGTCATTGTCATAAATTTTAAAATTTTAAAAAAAAAAAAAAAAAAATAAAAAATATAATAATATACATACTTATACTTGATGTAAAAATAATCCTACATAATATAAGGGATTCTAATACATTTAACTGTTCTTAAAAAAAATATAGTATAATAAAAATTAAAAATGAGAATATTTCAAATCGTAGTTAAATAAAAAGTATTCTAACCTGAACACCCCCGAAAATCTTTAAATTTACAAATAGAAAAAAATGACGTAAGAATTTTTTGCCGTTAACAATAAATTTTTTAAAAAAAATCCAGACGACATGCATTCAACGGATGTCAGTTTTCATTGAAAAATACATCCCTACCCCTTACCAAAATGTAGCTAATAACTGATACAATGATGCAGACATAAGGAAAACCCAGACAACCCTTGTCCAGTTGAAGTAGATTTATCTGTAACCATGGAAACGTGATTTTAGCTTAGCTGTGTCTTTAAAAACCCAGTAATTTTAAAAAGTTACTCCAAAATTCGCTTGAGGATGAAATGGAACTAATGTCTTTAATTTAATTTCAAAATTAAATTCATGGCTTTTAGCTTCCATTTTTAAAACATGGATAGAACTGTGTAGCGAAAAAAAACATATTTTAAATCAATTAATTTATAATATTGAAATCAATAAATTTACATATATATATATATATATATATATATATATATATATATATATATATATATGTTTTTATTTTTTAAAATATGATTATTTTCATAATATATATCATGTTTTATAAATATATATGTTTTCAATATAATTATTTAAATTAAATTAAAAAAAATTTAAGCTCTGTCCATCTTCAAAATTCAATTTTTGGGCTTTTTTGAAGATGGAACAATTTTAACTCGATTTAATTTAAATAATTATATTGAAAAATTTTAAATTTTTTGTTTTGAAACATGAGACTTTTTATGTTTTTGGAATCATATTTTTAAATAAATAATTATATTTATGCTCTACTTTTGTATCGAGCACTATTTTTTAAAAAATAATAACTAAAATACTAAGGGACTTTGGATTATTTACCTAACCAGTTCCTTCCTATTTTCTATATATTTTAACATATATATATATATATATATATATATATATATATATATATTTTTTTTTCTATATCAGTCCGAACTTGTATCTCTATGTATTCATATCAATCTATTAATATATCAGTCCTCCACTCTCTTCTATCTATCTATCTATCTATCTATCTATCTATCTCTTTTCCCATATATAGATTCTTCTATTTCTTTGTTTTTTCTTTCTATCCATCTCTATGTTAATGTCTATTTATGGGAGTCTATTCTTATGTATGAGCAATGGTGAGAAGAAAATGATCATTCAGGCCTTCAGTAATGGTACCGACATTCATACTCTGGCTTCCATATTCAAATTCCATGCAATTATCAACAAGAGAAAGGTGAAACAGTTTAAAAAGCGGGAACAGTAGATAGGAAAACAGGACCAGAAGGTCACAACAGGAAGAGGGATCATCATTTCAACTTAGAGCTAAAGAAATCAATTAGAAAAGATCCAACTCAATCCATAAGACGTTTGGCACGTGAGATAAGAGTTTCACCTTAAGAGTCCAAAGAGCAGTGAAACTGACTTGAAAATGAAATCGTCCGTGAAACCTGTGAGGCTACTTGTTACTCCAGGACAGAATATTAGAAGGTTAGAGAGGACGAAGATCATCTTGAATAAGTTGGAAAATGATCCTGGAATAATATATATATATATATATATATATATATATATATATATATATATATATAACTGAACTTTATTTCAGTCCTTCATAAGCTTCCGAACCTTAGTTATGATTAATTAATGATGAACATGCCATTTTCATTTGTGATCGATTTCATCAGGACTCTTCAGTAAATATAGGGGAGTAATTATGCATTCTTATTCTTCAAAGTAGAGTCCAATAGTGTTATAAAAACCTTGGAGAATTCCAGTAAGATATCTTTAATCATTTCTAAGATACAACGGTTCAAATCTCAATCTAACAAATGAACAATTTTGATTTTACACGATTTGGACAAATTCGATGTTACATTTAGTATCCATATATATATATATATATATATATATATATATATATATATATATATATATATATATGTGTGTGTGTGTGTGTTTATCTGTACGTGTACATGCACAAACAAATAGGTTTCATTAAAAAAAAAAATAAACAAATTTTAAGTTTTATTGTATTTTCAAATAAGGTGTTATGATTTGGAAATAGAATTGTGTTCTTTATATCAAAATTGTATTCTTTTAAAAACTTGTTTTGAATGAATACTGATGTCTATATATATATATATATATATATATATATATATATATATATATATATATATATATATATATATGAAAAAAATAAATAGAGTAAAACTCCACAGTTCAAAGTATTTACTTGTTTTTTAAATTGCAAATCTCACATTGGCCCAAAATACTCTACACGCACAATCTTTCATTATATCAAAGTGAACTATTTATTCCCCTTTTTCTCTTTGAATAAAACAATTAAGACCGGATTTTTGAAATCTTCATCGACTAAGATTTCACTTCGTTACATGTTTGTTGCTATCGTTTATTGATAAGCTGCCAACTTTTCAAACATCCCTCTTACTTCCAGGCTGTATGAAAAATAACCTTTTAACGCCAGTGAATGCAACTTGCCATGTCTACAATAATTTCGTTGGCACTTTGGAAAAAGATGCGTTCTTGTAATCCCTGTCTCAAAATCAACACCCGTAACAAGTTTAAATGAAACCTTTGGCCTCCAGCCTCTTTTCAATAGAGGCAGGTATAGTTTCTGTCAGTTCCATTTGAGAGACAGACGGCTTCTGATGCCTTTTCGAGGCATCCATCACAATCACGGCGCATCGCACTTTTTCCTTTTCCTCTTGTCCACCAAAATTTTTTCCACAAACAGATAAAAAGGTAGGTTTAAAAATATTTCCCAATTGAAATCCTCACCCACCTTCGATAATCCGGACAAACCACGTATTTCAACCCTAACAACATGGCGACTAGATAATTGACCGACTGTGATTGAACATGACGGGCGATTTGGAGCAGAGAATCCGACAAGCCATTTTTCAATGGACAGCCCCAGCAAGCCAACAAATAGATTTGGTCGGTAATTACAGTGTAGGTAACGGGTGTAGGTGGTGGGCCACCCACAAGAATAGATGAAGGGGGCTCTAGGGATGTAGAAGGTGGAGCAGAAATTGAAAGACGCACAAGTGGCAAAATTCCTGCTTACATTTTAATGTGAAAAATGCCCACAACATTTACGTCATCGCTCAAGGTACTATTTTTCACCAACGCTAACAATTTCAACTTCTTTGACCAAAGCTGCCAAAACTGTGTCTGTTCCAATTTGGCCCCTTTCGATTCTTGCCATTTTAATATCGATCTATCTAACGATCGATCGACGAGTGGCAAGCTTCAACGTCCGTTTGTTTTTCTCTCAACCAGTCTAAAAATCAAATAAACTATTAATATACCTATGTGACATTGTCACAAAACGTATGTAGATGTACAATTATTGATCGATGTGTCTGTTAGTTTCTCAAACTGTTTTAAAATATGAATATCAATATTTAAACGCATTATATATATATATATATATATATATATATATATAATGTGTGTGTGTGTTTGTGTGTGTGTGTGTATATATATATATATATATATATATATATATATATAGTTAAACCTAGAGAGTTCCCTGACAAACCTACCAAGGTTTCACCTGACGATCCGCTTAGGTGAAACCTTGATAGGATAGTCTGGCTCTCTAGGTTTAACTTGGTCTGCTCTTCTCATTGTATTGAGCACTTTATTTAGTTATTTTGGATAGTCGCATCGGGCTTTTTTTCTTTGGGCCTTGAACTCGTATGCTGGACGATTATTTTCGGTTAACGTACATGTTCTTGGTTCTTTCTTTTTTATACCTTTTTTTATAATTTTTGGTATTGGCTTGTTTATTTGCAAATCAATACAACGAAGTTTTTTCCGAGCTTATATATATAGTTTCTTATACTATAAGATTTCTATTAAGAATAAATATATATATATATATATATATATATATATGTAAGAGAAAGAAATAGCGAGAAAGAAAGTGAGAGAATCAATACAAATGTAAAATTCATCACTTAGCTGTTTGATGTTATATTTAGCAACCCGACTCCAGAGTTTCGTATACGAAGAAGATTATAATCGCTCGCTCCAATCGTCAGGAGATATCACCAATTGACTGCCGATTTTCTCATTTTCGTTTTTTTTTTTTAAAGTTAGAAGTATTTTATGCGCTTTTTATAGGTGTCAGGTTGATTTTTTCGTCTTTGATTGTGTGTGTGTGTGTGTGTGCACGCGCGTATGTATGTGTGTGTATGCCTGTACGTGTATGTGCTCATGTGTAGAATATCGTTTTCTTGTCTCCTTAGCCTCTCTTCTTTTCCTTGTTTTTTCTTTCTTTCTTTCAGCTCCGAATATCAAACATAATGAAATAATATATTTCCAGTCTCTATTACTTTTAGACAAAATTTTTTTTTTTTTAATTTTTTACTCGTATATTCTCAATTTTATTTAAAAAAAACATATCTATTCCGTTTTTATTTATTTATTGCTTAGATAATTAATATTTTTAAATTAATCTCTTAATTATATATATATATATATATATATATATATATATATATATATATATATATATATATATATTATAATTTTTGTATTTAGGCAAAATTTTTTTTAGGCATGTCTGATTTAATAAATTGCAGACATTATGTTTTTAATTTTAATAAACTCCGTTCATACTCACGAATAACTTTCCGTTTACTGATGTTAAAGGAAGAGAAAATGTGCTATACCTGTTTAAATTTATTTTATTTTCATTTCCCAAGTACTTTCGAAATAAAAATAAAAGAATATAAACACCTATAGCACATTTCGTACTTCATTTCCCAAGTACTAAGTAGCATACAGAAATTAAACGGGGCATAACTTTGATTTAAAAAAGAGCACGCTAATAAAAAATATCTTAATACGCAGACTATATCTCAAGGGAATATTAATTAATATCTTTCCATCGATAAACAAATGACAAACACTTTCTTCTGATCAACGACATTCATAGAAGCCATACTTAATGTAAGATCCAGACATCTGCTGACAATGTAACCTAAGTCTTCCATACACTTCTTTCTCCAACACACCAAATATCTCCTGATACATATAGAATATTAATAATAGAATAAAACAAAAAACACACATATACCCAAAATTTCCCGACACAAACGATTTTTCTCAACAAATGTTAAAAATTATAACAATTATAATGTCAATAAATAAGTTAAATTAAAACACTCACCCATATACACCTAAATTTACTTCTACGCACGATTTGTCTGAAATAATAACATTTATCCTAATAGTAATAACGCACATCTAACCCAAAGTCAGACACGTACACAAGTACCTCCAACTCCCACAAGACCAAGTGGAAATTTTATACACACACACACACACACACACACACCTTTCCCATTTCTTCCCACTAACATCAACAGAAATTAGAGACACAGACACGTCGCACACTCAAACCTACAGACTAAGGCCACAGGACAAAAATACGTGAGATCGACTTATAACCGAACCCATGCCAAATAAGACATCTCCTTAGCTCAAGAACAAATAAGAATAAGTAAAAACGACACAGAATACAAAGTACCAGAACGTTCTACTGACATAAGTTATTTCCCCACAAAATCTGAAAAATCCTAAATAGAAGAGAAATATGTGAATTTATAAACGTTTTTTTTGTTTCTATTTTGTTTATACATTCAGGCCAGTAAATGTAATCAATATTGTTTAAAAACAGAGGATTTATTCAAATAAGTGTATCTATAAAAAAAAATAACGTATAAACAGAAAATATATTAAATATTTGTCGGATTTAAATCATTTTCAATTACATATTTTCATTGTTTACGTTAGCTTAAGAATTCAGAAGCGATATTATAGATCGAGAAAGATCAGCGAAGGTATGTGTTTGATGGCAGTAATTCGAGCTTTGCTTAACCGGAAGTTCTCTGTGGCTGAAAGGACACAGCACGTTATTATTAATGGTGGTTCTGTATAAGATTGAGGTTCGATTCCTGTCGAAGAACGCATATTTTCTACGAAATTTCTCGTATATTCAAACCGGTAAATGTAATTAATACTGTTTCAT